GAGAGAGAGCGAGAGAGAGAGGGATCAGGTGAAAGAGGGAGAGTTTGTGCCTGTGTTCTGTGCACTATTTATTAAAGGCACTGTCCTTGCAGGAGATGGATTTCCCCATCTCTCCTGCAGGAATAGGAATATGCAATTGCTTTAGTGATGATAAAGTGCGGGTGTCAAGTCTTAATAGGGTATGTTGAACATTGATATGCTCACCTTCCTGAGACCTAAAGATTCTGTCTTATCACAGAGATGGCACTACATTAGCTCTGATGTGCCAAATTACACCAAAGAAATAATGACATTTCACTGCTTCTCCTTTGGTTTCTCTAACAAAGTATTGTGGTATTTATTCTGCTGTGTTGTCTTTAAGGCAGCCCCCTCGCGTGGAGACATAAAATTACCTGTGACATGAGAATGGATCCCCCTCCAAGAATTTTCTCAGTTGTTCTGTCAGGCAAAAGAAAATGTCATGCTCCTCGGAGGCCCTGAAAAGTTTGACGAAATTCAGTCTGAAGCTACAACATGACTCTAAAAGTTTATAATGTGCTTCTAGCACGTTTGACGCCGATGTCCTCTGACACTTTGACACTCGGCCCTCCCTGAGTACATTAATTAGGAGACAATTCTGACATCCAGGAAATGTCTGTCCCGTGTCAGTCTATGAATCGTCCTGTAGCTCTCTTTGGACACTGGGTGACTTCATCACAGATTAAGATCCTGTTGAAAGTTCCCCTAAGCTGCTGTTTCCTCTCTGTCGGCTATGTGATCTGCATTTTCAGGGGGCTGTCAGTTAGATTTGTTACAGGCTACTTGCTGCTTCCACGCATGACAAATCACTTACTCCGAGTCCTGGTGGGGAACACAACTGGGAGTGCGTAGGGAGGAAGGACTGGGAGTTGTGGGGCCTGGCAGGAGAGCAGAATGTAAAAGTAACAGACTGCAAATGAAACTCAGTCATGCGCATTCACACTTCTCTGTTCGTGTTTGCGTGAGAGTGTGTTTTGTAACTGCAAATCACACATAATTTCTCAAGGAAGCCATTATTACAGGTGATTGCTATTAATCACACGTGAGCATGTGCAAACCCACATACACACACATACAAAAGTCTCCTGCTCACATCGGTCATTATTCTTCCTCTCATGGGACCCTCTTTCAGGATCGGCTCCTTGTAATGTGTTTTCTTTCGATTGATCATTCTGGGAGCTCCAGATGTTTTATTTGGGTAATAGCTACATGGATGTGGGGCTCTTGGGAAAATTGCATGATGAAATATAATTGCAATGTTTTCTGACATTTTAGCTCTTCTGTAAACAGACTGTGTTCTGTGCAATAAACCTCCGGTAAGCATTTTGTTTTATTCCACAAAGTAATTGCTGATAATTTAGTTTATTATTGTATTTGAATAGAACATTCAGTCAAAACGTCTCAAATGTGTGCTTTCAAATACTTAATATAATATCACAGAAAATCCAGGGTGTACATTTTTTTTTCCTTTACATTTAAAGTTATTAGTTCATTACAGAAAATCATGAATTGGCTTCTATGCATTCACTGTTTAAAATAGTTAAATAAGTACAATTGTCTGGCTGCTCTAATTTATGGCAGGAAAATACATAATCATGTAGCAGAGAAATTTGTTTTCCCTTTCCAGCATCGTGGACCGGCGTGATTATTTGACGTAGGTAATAAGGCCATTCTTTATAATTAAAGATTACATTATTGACTTGGATTAATCACAGAAGATAAAGCTGATTCAACAAGCCATGAATAAATAGATTATTTTTCTTCCAGTCTAACTCTGAATAATTGTTCATCTATTGTGTGGTGCTGTCGCAGAGATGAGCAGCGAGCCCTTTGGCTTTTTTTAAACAGAGCTCTGAATTGGTTTGCTCTGACTCTCAGCTGTGTTTGCTGCTGCATTATCAGATTTTGCTCTCAGCAAGGACAGATCCCTTCTGCATATATTCATGGAGATAACTAAACAGCTATAGGGTGGCATGCGAGGTGATCTATAAAAACCTGGGTTAACGGCGACAACACTGAAGAGCTCTCCACCTGCAATCTGTCATTACACTGACTGAAGCCCTTGTTGTGTGCTTTTATAGATAATTGAATGTTTAATAGTATAAGCGACAGATGATGTCCCTTCCCCTCCCTTGTCCTATCCTCCATAGCACGGATAAAATCTTAAACCATATTAACGTAAAGAAATGCCCCAAAGAGACATTATTGAGGGTTGATGTGAATAGGTGTACTGTCCTTGGGTCATTCATCAGAAAAAAAGATATTGTGAGCAAACAAAAAACACTTTTACAGCCGAAAATCAAAAGCCTATGATGATAACAAGCTGTGGGGACAGCATGTGCTTAAAAGGACTTTGCACATAGAGCAGGCCAGCATTTGAGTGTGTGCTGTGTGAATTTATACAGTACAGTAAGACTTTGAAGTGAAATCACACAGATCAGTCACCAAAACTACAACATGTGTGGTACAACAACCCGGCTTTACTTCTATTGTGACACAAGTTTTATATTTTCCTGCTGTGTTCAAGCCATGCACAGATTCTATTTTTAATTTTCAGGTGCAAGGTCGCACCACTTGTCAGCGGTGTGTAAGATGTGGTTTTCAGGCCAATACATACATGCTTTCATTTGCAGTTTTATACATGTTTGTGTTTGTGTGTGAAAATGTACTGTCTACATGTGCAGATGACTGTGAGAGTGACATCCACTTCCCTAGTGGGTCCAATGTCTGCACACCCCTTAACAGCATACCCACCCACCCACGCACACACACTCACACACACGTCTCGCCGAGCCACCCACCTTCCCCCTGGTGGAGAGCGAGGAGTGTGGGAGCGTGAAAGTGACTGGCTATCTGGACTGGCTTCGTCTCCAACAGCCTGTCAATTAGCCGTCTACAGTTCCACTGCTGTGGGTGTCCCTGCAGCTTAGCATGCTGTCTGATATCTGATCCACACACCCCACCCAGGAGGCCAACACTGAGCATTACAACACTCCCCCTTCACACACACACACACACACAACCCATAAACAAACAAATTCACACATAGTCTTTTCTTGTCTTATTTTATTTTGTGCAAAATACACAAAGAAATGACTGAACACTGATCCCGTATTCAAGGCTAAAGGGAGGACTGCTGCTTGTGTAACCCACTTCAGTCCCACTGCACTCCTTACCCACCTTCTCTTCCTCCTCTTCCTCCTCCTCCTCCTCAAGCATATGAGAGGAAGATGAATTACAGTGCAATTGGTCGGCTGCTCCTCCTGATATGCATCACCACTGTCTAATCAGATGAAGCCCACCTGTGACCAGCCACTGGATAACACCAATATGCAAACAGTTTATATTTGGGAAGATTTACCTTTTCTATCACTCCCTGAGCCGGTTTTAAAACCTCTCACTGTGCCACGGTTCGGAGCGCTCGGTTTGATGAGGAGAATCTGCGACTCAGGGACAGCTTTTAACTCACCGATAAAGGCTTCCGATGTTGTGGTACCGCTAAACCCCCTTCCTCTAACCCCTGGGAGTCTTTTACTCACACAGACATTTGTCTCTTTCTGACAAGTCATACACCAAGCTGTTGGAAGTGTTAATGTGGCTGCACACACACACGAACATGTGTACTGAGAGTGTGTATAGTGCAGATAGAATGCTTCCCCATACAAACACACACAGGTTTCGTCACAGATTGAGAGAGTTGGCTCGCAAGATTGATCATGACTCCTGACTGGGTGCCCCTCCCTCTCTGGAGGATCAATACATCCTTCAGTCGGATTGCTTCCCTGCCCTTCCTACTCCAACCCTAGTGTGACTAATTATCTTGTGCCTGTGTTTTGGGCCCAGTCTCAGCTGCATTTGTTAATGCCGCCAGAGTTGGTGAAGAATTTGATCTTTAGAAGAAGATATCTGTTTGTTTTAGCGTATATCCAGCCCAAATCAATCAATATACACTGTCTACCTTTTTCCCTAAAGGGCGCTGAAATGATCGAGCAATACGAGATGACTCACAGCTTGGACTGTGTGGGGATGGGGAGGAATGAGCGTTTTTAGATAAAGTGAAATAAAATTTTAAATCCAACTAATAAGAGCAAGAGGGAAATTTGAAG